ATTCTCAGAACATGTATGTGATGAATGTCTTTAAATTTATCCCATGCATCTTTGACAGTATGTCATTATTGCTAAAGCCACATTTTTAATGATATATCACAGTGTTTAAAAGAACATAATCTTCAGGTCCATCCATTTTGTTTGAAAAGTAGTATTTTTTTGAATCCCTGTATGATACTGTCATTGGAAATATTATGTTATCAGAAACATAAGTACCCATTTATGTTGTTGTTCTTTCCTTGCCTTTAACATTTATTTGGATAGATAAATGTTATATTCACAATGCAACCTCTGACTCTATGCTTACATAAGTGATTTTTAAAAGGGTGATTTGCAAAGACAGTCAATAGTTGAATTTTTGAGACAACATTCTTTTGAGACAACATAATTATAAAACTTCTTTGTGTCTTTTTCTCTGTCTCCAACTTCTCCTCTTCTCCCCCTTCTCCTCTTCTCCCCCTTCTCCTCTTCTCCCCCTTCTATTCCTTTCTCTCTCTCTCTCTCTCTCTCTCTCTCACTCTCTTTCTTTTCTTCCTCCTCCTTCTTGGATCCTATTCTATCAGCTATCTGGTAGCTGATGGAATTTCAAAGTAACAAGATTGAAGTCATTTGAAGGTAATGTGCCTCTCCAAATAATATTTTCCCAAATTCACAGGTCAAGACTTGTGTAGTTATGGCAAGCCATGTAAAGATTCCAAAGATCCAACTGTATTCACTTCTAAAGCAGACAACTATTCAGAGATTTACATTTGGTGTTGGCAAAATCTCTTAAAGCAGGGATTAGCATGTCATTTTGAATACGTGGGAAAAGTGAGGTTAATTCCTTAATTAATCAAGTTTTGTCTGATCTTCAAATCCTTGTTTATTTCATTATGCTACATTGATATTGATAAAAAGATGATAAATGTTAAGTTCTTAAATATATAGCCTCAATTTTCCCATTCCACCCGTCTGTATTTTCAGAAGAGTTATACCAATGGTGGTAGCACAAATTTTGCTGAATTTTGGCTCTTGCTGTTCAGTCTTATTAAAGAATCTATTGTTCTGGTATTTTAAGACTCCCAAGGCATGTATGCAAAACTCTTTCTTCTCTCAATAAAATAAAAAGCACTCTTGCAAATAAGTATATACAAATCCACCAATAACCCACTCACAACTAGACATGTTTAAACCTCTGGTCATGATTAAAGTTAGATCTAAAGTCAAATGTGTTTGTACTGACCATAAATGTATATACCTATCATATAATTTTTTCACTTTTGAGTAACTATACTTAATATATTTCTATAGTTCATATCCAAGACGTCTATTTGGGTACTGCAAATCCAGTGTCTGTTAAACATGACTCTGTATTTAACACCTTCATGATGACATCATTGGTTGTAAAGAAAATTATTATGCTGATCTATATCATACTCAAAACAAATGCCAAAATATTGCTTGAGAAAAGAAAACACAAATTTATCAATTATGACTTTTTATTAATATACATTTACTTTTACAGCATATTTGTTTATGAGACTAATTCGATGTTTATAAGCGCTGTCATGTCAATAGAGACAGAATATTCAGCAGACAGGTTTATTACTACTTTTATTAAAAAAATATTTTTAAATACTGCTATAGTTTGAATTATGCCTTCCTCACCCAAATTTATATGTTGAAGTCCCAGCTTCCAAATTGGAGATAGGATCTTTGCAGAGGCAACTGAGTTAAAGCGAGGTCAGTAGAATAGGTCCTAATCCAATATAACGTATCCTTATAAAAAGGGAAAGTTTGGACACAGAGGAATGCATGGGAGGAAAAGACATAAAGGGAGAAGACAGTCAGATATCTACAAGTCAAGGAGAGAGACTGGAAGAGTGTTTTTCCTCAGACTTCAGAAGGAATCAATCCTGTTAGTACCTTGATTTTGGACTTCTAGCCTCTAGAAATGTAAGACACTGCATTTCTGTTGTTAAAATCACCTAGTCGGCCAGGCACGGTGGCTCAGCCTGTAATCCCAGCACTTTGCGAGGCCAAGGCGAGAGAATTGCCTGAGCCTGGGGGTTCGAGACCAGCCTGGGCAACTTGGTGAGACCTCATCTCTACAATAAATAACAAAAATTAACTGGGCGTGGTGGCATGTGTCTGTAGTTCCAGCTACTTGGAAGGCTGAGGTGGAAGGATCACCTAAGCCCAGCAGATCGAGACTGCGTTGGCTGTGAGTGTGCCACTGCACTCCAAACTGAAACTCCAACTCAAAAAAACCCCACCTAGTTTATGGTGTTTTGTTATGGCAACTTTAGGAAACTAAAATACAATTCTGATGTATTTGTTTATATACATCCACATAAAGGGGCTTTATTTCTTTTGCTAGAATGCAGATTTTAATTTTAATCTCACTATTTTAATTGCACAATATTTAAAACAATTATATTTTGAAATTATTTCTGCTACAAATAAATATATTTTTCTAGATGTATATTTTCTCTGGGTTGCATTCTCCTTAAATGCATTGCGGTTTAATTGGATACTGTAAGAATTTATTTAAAAAGTCAAGTAAAAATAGTAAGACAGGACAACTTTAACAAGTTTATTTTATACTATTCATGGGAAATACTTAAGCTATTTTACTATTCCTAATGATATAAGTGCCATATTTTAGTGCAGAAATTTTATACTTCAAAAGAAATCACATCTAACTTTCTATAAAATGGGTGAGGGTTTACTTTTAAGAAACAGTTACGAAAGTGTTAAAAAAAACTACAGAATTATTACCATTGTGTTTGTCAAAAATAGACTTGTATCTCCCTAGGCATATTCTATTATCTATAGGTAATGCAGAAAAGCTTCTAATGTTAAAGAAAGAGGAAAAATTAAAGAAACTGCCAGTCAAAAATAAAAATAGCTTTGATCAGGAATAGGAGACTGGCATTTACAAAATCAGTTGAACTTTCACAACTTTTCAGAGGTGAACTAAAAATATATGGGTTATTTTAGACCATAGCACATTCTAGATTTATCTTCCAATGAATTGCAATTTGCATCACTGAAAATCAGATATTTAGGGTTGCTTGAATCCTTTGACTGGAGCCTTTTCTAAATATATCCATTAAAACTGGAATATTCCCTTTATAGATATTCTAGAGAGTTTTGAAACTTCAACATGGATAATTTGGGGTTTTTTAATTAAATGATTTTACAATTTAAAATTAATAGAAAATATCACCTAAATGATTACCTACAGGTATTTGTTAATGTTGCCTCTGAAAATTTACCTTCTTTTTTTTTTTTTAAGGGCTTATTAATATCATGCTGGGGGATTACACATGAGCTTTGCAGAATTGATTAGGACATTTTTGCCATATTCCAAAGGAAAGCAGACCTAAAAGCATTGTAGTACTGGAGTATCTTCCAAGATACAAGGTGACCCCTTCTGTTTAAGAACTGAACAATGTGATTATGCTAATTTTAAGATTGGTGTCTCAGAGATTTTTACTGATTATTTTAAAATTTGAAGGACAGTTCTTATTTTCCTATCTGTTTATTTGGTGGGTTTTTCAAGTTAAGAAGGAAAAGAACTTAACTGATATTCTTCATGCTGTGAGCAGAAAGGGTCCTTAAAATTCAAATGGGAATGAAATAAATCTTTTCATATGTGTGCAGTATCTCAAACTGATTTCTAGATCAGATATTAAAAAAGTGTCTGAAATCTTCCTTTGGTAAACACTGTAATTGTGAAAGGAGAATAAGGTATGCACAGTTCCAAATAGGATAGCCAGGTGAATTAATTGACCATATTACATTTAAATAAATTTTCCTAGGTTAAAGGAAAAATAGTAGTTTCTAAAAAACTAAAAAAACCATAGTTTCTTAAGTACTGACTGATTATTATTTTACTGTTTAAAATAGTTCAACTTTTAATTTTAGGGTATTTTTCTAAAAATTATATACGTATGATTTATTCATGATTTGGTTTTTACATTTTGTAAGACATCTTTGAAGTTACGTCTATGATGTAGATAGTTGGTAAAGGCAGCAAGATGGCATTTAACATAGTTTTATGATATAGCTCTAATCTTTTCTATTTTAATAATAGGCTCTTAAATAGATTCAGCAGAGTATAAAAGGTAATAAAAATGCATAATGGTGTTATTTTTACTCTACTTTAAAGGGCCTCCAGTGTTTTACCATTAACCTATCTGAGCCTCAATTCCATCAGTATAAAAGAGCTTGGAGAGATTAAATGTGAGAAATAGGTAACATTTAGCTCAGTGACTGCTTGTGGTATGGGAATAACAAATATAATAATTTTATAATTCAATAAATATTCATGCATTTGTACATTTTATGCTAAAACTAAGATTCAAACATATCAGTAACACTGTGCAGATTTTCCTAGAACATGCAGATTCAAATTCACAGCCATTGCTGTCTCCAAGAGAATTAATACTTGCAGAAGATGCTAAAACAAGTCATGGTAGATTGTGCCACTCAGCTCATGGGATTTATCCCTTCATCCAGTGATGCACTCTGCGACCCTCTCTTGGCCTTTGATAGCTGAAAAAATAATTACAAAATACAGATGGAAAAATCTTAGAAAACATTGCTAAAACAGTTGCTTGAATCATATCCTCCCTGTGCTTCATTCTTTTGAGAATCCACATACATCCAGTTAAATCTTTTGTTTTGAGGGTTGCTTACAGACAGTGGTCTTGGGGAACACTGATAACCATGGACCGAGTTGAGAGCAGTAAGTCAGTTTGCAAAGGCCATTGAAAAGTAGGGCAATGGAAATTACTTTCAGACAACAATTACTAATCTGAACCAGGTTTTTATTGGGAGTCTAGCAATAAAGGCTTCTGTATCTTACTATTACTCATCATTTGAGTCACTTATTCCTCTTATTCTTTAATTGACTCCTGTTATTTTAAACAGTGCTTTTGGAATGTTTTCACTTAAGTATAGGAAGTGATGCTTTTCTGCTTAACTTTTTTTGTTGTTCCTTTTCTCCTTAGGGATGCAGATCTGTTCCTGTTAGACACAAGAAAGGCCCAAGCTTTAGATGTGGGTTGGCTTGTCTTTGATATCACTGTGACCAGCAATCATTGGGTGATTAATCCACAGAATAATTTGGGCTTACAGCTCTGTGCAGAAACAGGGGATGGTAAGCGCTGAATTTTTATACATATATTTTTTGTGGGGCTGGTTTTGACACATTGAATGTTCCTGTTTTTTGTGTGATTTAACCAATGTGTGCTTTGTACTTATGATGTACGAGGTAGCACTTTTCATAGGATAGTAACACACCATATTAATTAATCAATTTAGAATACATTTATCCAATGCATATTTGTTGTCAGGCTCTGAGGTCTGGGGTAAAAAAGTAGGAGTGACTGTTATTGCCCTCAAGGAATTCTTAGTCTAGTAAGACCTTTATGTAAACAAGTATACTGTGGGAAGATGGCAATATCAGAGGAAAGCTATATGTAAAGTACTATGGAGCTACATCTTGATTGCGGTGGTGGTTACACAACTATATAATTTGTAAAATGTTATAGAACTGCGCATCTAAGAAGAGTGACTATTTATATATATGTAAATCTTATCTCAACCTTACTAAAATAGTGACAAATATATATCTGAAAAGGTGCTAGAGAAACAAGGGAGGGTAGGTGAGTGTAAAGAGATGGAATAAGAATCAAAGAATAGAAAATAGTATCAAGTTAGGTATTAATGTAATGCAATATTTGGTCAAAGGCAATGTTCCAGAATCACCTGGGAGAGATTTGTTGAAAACCTTCACTTTGGAGAAGTTCCAGTAGTAATTTTTATACTCACTACTTTATATTCACTAAGCACAAAGGTGAGCAAATGTAGATGGCTCCATGAGGCTTGCAGTTGACTGGGCACGAGATCGTAATCACACAATAATATTAGTGAATGCCTGTCACTCTGCACTGAGAAGAGTCCAGTGGACCTGTGAATATAGGACAACGAGCGAATCTGAGCAACAATCTGAAAGACAAAGATATGATTGGGGGAAAAGTTGGGGAAGAGGCCGCAGGCATTTCAGACACATGGAATAGAATTTGCAAAGACTGGTGAAAGGGATGCTGACACTTTTGATCAGAAGGGAAAGGCAAGGACAATGTATTCAGAACTTTGGTGGCCTTTGATAACTCCAAATCCAAACATTCTCAAGTCAAATCTGGACTTCCAGATTCTCAACTCAATTCTGGACTTCCAGATCTTTTAAAATTATATTGTCATGATAGGAGGACAAAACATAATTTAATAGTGCATTTTCTTGATTGGTAACTTTTAAATATTTAGAAACACACCATGTAGATCTGTACTGTTTTCTTATTCCACATGCTACAAATGTTATAACCAGGCCCAGGGAGGATAATTTTTTAAGAGATAAATAATGAGAGAATATTCTTATTTAAGATCACTGCCTTTAGTTTTCTGCAGAATCAGGCAAGAGAAACAATAACCTAAAGTCTGTCTCCCTCATTCTCCTTGCCATATTATACAAAAGCCTTGCTTAATAAACCACAGAGTGAAGTAAAACTTGGTTCTGTCTTGGAACTTTTTCAAGGGGATTCCTTGCTGTAAGCACTAAGAGTTAATGGTGGCATTGTTTTACCTATAACCAGTTTCACAGCCTATGGATAATGCTATAGCCAACACTGTGACTCCAAGGATTGTGTATATGGAATAAAGTCGACAGACACAAATTAAATATAGTACAGTCTAGTCTAGTGATGGTTTTATGAGCCTCAAATCTTGATCTAGAAAAAGAAAGTATTTACTGAAAGTGTTAAATACAAAGTTTCAGACCTTACTGCCTTCAAATCTAGACTTTTTCATAGATTTTAATTACAATGCTAAATTGTCATAAATAACTCAAATATTTTGGATTATAGGTTGTTTTCCAATTATGGCTTTGAGATGACCATTAAAGATTCTTAAAGTTCAAGGTTTATAAATGTAGACTGAGAAAAGCACAGATTTAAATAATCTTCCGAGAATTCTCACGTTAAACTACTGTACATTTATGGTCAGAAATGTGACTGGGAAATCTGCACTGCGGGCGTAAGCCAATCGTTTCTTCCCTGGTATGTGGTCTAAACAAGAAAAAATTAAATTAGTGGTATGTGCTTCTCCCAGTCTTCTCCTTAGGGATATGCTTGAAATGTCTAACTAAACAAATCAAGGAATCTATGAAATATGATCAGCCTGTTTCCTTTTAATTTCCATCTCCCCTCCCACCCCACATGAACTTTCTGAAGTTTCTCTTTTCACTCGCCTCTTATATTGGTTCTTTCCTCCCTTTACTACTTGTATAATTTAACTTCTATCTTGCTTTCAATTTAACTTTTTCTCCCAGAAAACGACTCTATATTTTGATTTCCCTTCCTCCTTGATTTATTTCTTTTACATTTCATGGCTAATTTTACTTTAAGTTACGAGTATGATATTATATTTTGAACCTGAAATAAACTAATACTTTTCTGTTTTCAAAGGTTTCCAAATTCTTTATGTAAGGGGTAGATTTGAGATATACGGACTTTTACTGCATTTGTTTACCTCTCTAATATTGTTTAACATGAAGAATATTAAAATGGTTAAATGTGCTAGGCTAGCTGGCTTTTTGCATTTAAGCATAAATACTTAAAACAGATTTTAACCAGAAGAGAAACATTTATGACCTTGGGAAAGTAAGTGACCCTTCTGGCACCTTAGTTTTATTAACTGCCACCTCATGGAGAGTATACATGTGACATTTTTTTCCACAAATATGAATAACCAGATGCTTCAGCTTATTCCAGCCTCACTCGTGACCACTGCTGGTGTTCTCAATATGACATTGCTTCAGAGCCCACAGACCATCTTCTATTTGCAATCATGGATTCTGAATACTTTTACTTCTCAGGAAAAGGAATTGAAAAATCATGAAAAGATGATACTTAGGAAGTCTTTTTTCAAATACATCTGTTGATTATTTTATTATGTTATTTGGTCTATGTAGAACTACTGAGTATCTCTACATTCAAGATGGCAGGTTAAGAGAGCATATAGTGTGGGAGACAGATATCTGTAGCTATCTTTGGAAAGAAGAAAGTGCTCCAATGCTAAAAATAGCATCAGCTGAGACACTATGGGAAAGCAGAAGAGACATGGCTAAAGACCACAGGGACAGAGTCAATAGAGCCGTGGTGAGGTGCCTTTTAAACTGGGTCAGCGGGTAGAATTTTAAGAAAGAGAGATGAAGAGAAAAAGGGGCCTGAGGGTGTGGGGAGTGATAGTGAGAACAGGAGAGTTTGTTCCTGAGTGGGGAAACAGTGATGCAATGCATAGAATGGCAAAACGGCATGGTATATTCTGGTAAAAGTTAATAGTCCAGGACTGGCTCAAACAACTCTCATGTATAAAACATGGCTGCAGATGCTATTAGGAAAGTGATCTGAAAGCAGATCTCCTAAGGAATGTGAAATCAAAATGAAGAGTAATATACTCTTGTAGCTTGATCACAAGTCATACAAGAACTAGACGTGTTGCTTAATCAATCACAGTAACAGCATTGTGATTACATGTTTGAATGAATAGCAGTTTCATGAGGTGATAGGACGTGCATCTCTTGTTCACTATTGTACCGTCGGTGCTTGGCACAATGCAAGTCATAGGTATTAAAAATGTCTTGGATGATCTTTGAATGAGCATGTGATTAAAAAGGTTCTTGTGGGTCACCCAGCACTGAAAATGTTCCTCTTAAGAAGACATTCCAAACAGTGAGATTGGGCTGTTATGAACTGTACCAGTTTGATGTATCATAGAAGCAGAATTTTGTATAGCAAACCACAGTACAGTAGTTAAATAGTTTCAATCATAAGAAGAGAAAGTCAGTGATGTGTATTATTAAACGCTGTTACCCTGCCCCATGAAGAAAAAATAGCAAAGAGGCCTAAATATATTTTGGAAATCAAAGGGCTGCTGAAATCAAAAGTGGCATTTTGATTCTTCAGAGATTCTTTGGAAAATATGTCAGTTTGCGACAAACTCTTTTCTGAAATTTAATAAGCGAATCACAAGGATTTGGCAAGAAAGTTTAAGGATATTTTATTAATTTTTATCATGTTAAATAGATAATTCTCAGGGCTCCATATGTTTGTTTCAGAAAATTCACACGAACATCTGGACAAGCAAGTTAAAAAAATAAAAACTTGCTGCTGCTTCATGGCAAAATCTAGAGATTCCAGGCAAGATGTTATATCCAATTGTGCAAGATTGGCTACACAAAGTTCTCAAGCACTCTCTCATGTTGGTTAATAAACTTCTACGATAAAATGAGTATTATTTTTGTTTTTAAGAGCAAATGAGTAGGCTTAGAGTTATTTTAATTAATTGTATCACTTTCCATTTTCTAAATTATAAAGACACATTAAGTATCTGACTTATCTGCTTTATTAACATTGATAATAAATCTATGTTATTGATTTTTTTCTACCCACATATGTACAAAGTTTATTACACAGATTGCAATTTAATCTAGTTTTTAAGACGGGTTTTTTCCCCCAAACACTATAATTTTCCATTGTTTGATGCCTTCTATAGTTTAAGCCTTCCAAGTAAATTAATTCTTTTTTTCAAATTTGGGTTTACAGAATAATTTAGAGATGGAAAAACAAAGATAGTATTTTTGGGTTCATTAGAGTGTCTTTTTAAAAGTCCTCTGTTTTTAGACATTTTAGGTTTGGCAATACTCAGAATGAATTTTGCCAATGACTTTTTTCCTTTCTATTCAAACTTGCTTATACATCAAGAAAAATTCAATCCGTATGTTTCGGATTCATTTGTATTCGAGTGATCAAATGTTGTTTTGTCAAAATATTGTTTAATATCCAAGAAGCAGTATAAGGTTCTTTGTAAAAATAAGACTCTAAAACCCATTTTTAAACACAAAGTAATGGTGTAGTTTCCAACCCATTAAGACAAAATTTTAAGTTTAAATTCAGAGATTTCAAAGCGTCACTAAATATTGTACCCAAACGAAGAAATAGAGAGATCAGAAGTATTAAACTATCAAATTAAATTTTATTATAATTGATATTTAAATATAAAATAAGTACATTCATAATTCTTGCTTGTCGGTAATTATTA